TTCATTTATGCTCATGGAGGGATGGCTAGAGAGAAAAAGGAATATTCAAACGCCTCAGCATCAGTCCCTTGCATGCATTTCATGGATGTTAACCACCTACCTCTTCTAGGTCCTCCTTCAACCTCAAATGCAGGTGAGGGTTTATAGATGTCATTCATAAATAAATAAATAAATTTCTCTAGTTTCTTTGAGCTCTAATTTCTTTTATCTTTAGGTATTTCATTGGCCCTATCTACTAAATAATTATAGAGCAGTTAGCATGTGTCAGACACTGGGCATGGCTCTGTGCATGGGTGAATTTTCAAGGTGTTGTTTCACGGGTCAAGTGATTATGAAGCTCAAAGCTCTTAAATGTCCTACTTATGCGGAATTTCTTTGATAAGCGCCATCATCTTCACCATTTTGACATTCTGAAATCACTGTACTTATTCAATTGTTATTACTAAAGCTATATGCATTGTCTCATTTAGTCTTCACACAGCCCTGTTAAGGGAGGCATTGTTATTCCCTTTTGTTTTTCAGATGAGGAAAATAAGGCTTAGAGTGATAGTGACTAGCCCAAGACCAAATGGTTAGTGTCTTAGTCTATTTAGGCTACATAACAAATTACCATAAATTGGGTAGCTTATAAAAAACTTAAATTTATTTCTCACAGTTGTGAAGCTGGGAGGCCCAAGGTCAGGGTTCCAGCATGGTGGTCTGGTTCTGGTGAGGGCCCTCTTCCCAGTTGCAGATTACTGAACTTCCTGCCGTGTCCTTCAGGGGTAGATGGGGTGAATGAGCATCCTTGGGCCTATTTTATAAGGGCATTGATGTCATTCTCAAGGCCATGACCTCAAGACCTAACCACTTCCCTAAGGCCATGCCTGTTATATTATCACATTGGGAATTAGGTTTTTATATATGAATTTGACTGGGGCACAAACATTCCAGACCATACCAACTCGTAAGGGGCAAATCAGGATTCACACTCAAGATTGTCTCCTTCTAAACCCAAAGCATCTTTAACTACTGTGAACTTTTGCTTTGTTGAAAAGTGATGTTCTTGATATATTTCTTCCATTTATAGTTGGGGTTATGCTCTTGATTATGCCGAACTATGTATGTGGTATATAGGCCAACCAAAATCTGCTTTTTTTCTTTTTAACTTTTTAAAAAAATTTCTGCCCTTGGTGAACGAAACCAAATTCTGCTTTCTAATTATGGGCATACATACAGCCTTTGTTTTCTGAGAATTCCAAATGAAGCCGAGGGCCAGGTGTATTTTATGTTTTCATAAGATGTATTCCACAGCCTATTTGTCATTTTACATTGAATTTATTCTTGTTTATTCCAGAATTGTGGCCACAGGGTAGTAGTTTTCAAGAAGTTTATAACACATTACATTAAACTTGAAAGCAAACTAAATATTCAGCTATAGCAATTATTTTATCTGAGGTTTTCCCCAAGAAATGTTTCTCTATTTATCAAATATATGCTATTTTCCTATTTTCACAGCAGTGTGCTAGATACCTGACTACACATTTAATAGTGGTTGGCCTTGTGAGCTAGCATGAGGAATAGACATATGTAGGTAACCATGTTACTGGTGATTGTTAAAAAGTCAAGAATTTTGTGAGATAGTTGCTTGGAATCATCCAACTTAAGAATAGTTACATCATGGAAACCTGCTGATACTACAAGTAAGGATGTTTTTTTTTTCTGTAGGGAAGGAGGAAAAATGTGACTTTTGAGTTTAAAAGGCTACTATTTTCTGTTCAAAAGGAGATAAGATCATATGCTGAGCATGGAGGACAATGGGGTGAGCTAAGTGACTTGAAGAGAGAAGAAATGTTTTGGAACAGCTGTTGAGAAAAATAGGAAATCGAAAGAACTTAGAACAAGAGAATATAGAAGTTTTTTTATGAATAGATAATTCTTTGGAAAAAACACTGAAATTGTAAATTGCCTTGTAAAGGTGGTAAATCTATGTGCCTCGCAAAAAATTTAGATGTTTGGGGTAATAAATAAAAATTAAAGAAAAATGAAGGGTTCTGGTTAGTTGATTATACTATTAAATTATGCAGAGCGGAACCAGTTTGCCCTGCCTGAAATAAGTTTGGCTCTGTAAGATTGAATTCTCTTGCCATTTTGATGTCCATAATTGTATTGCCAGCTCTGTCAATTAAGTGTTTTTAAAAGTAACAATGATCCATTCCATTTGGAAAATGTATTATATTTTATAAAATGCTTTTACTGTACATTATCTCTTTTGATCTCACCTGTTATTGATCTTTGGTTGGCAAATACTGTATTTCAATGAAGCTACTAGACCTTCTACCATGCACTTTGAAGGAAGACTCATATAATTCTCATATAAATGCAAATTTAAAGTTATCTCTTATGGCTTTGGGATAAACAGAATAAGGCTGGAAATTCCTGACAAATTACAACTATTTAAGGAATAGTTCGGTTAGATAAGTGAGATGTGGATTAGATAAACAATAGAGCATTGGAAAGTATTTATAGATCACTGACAAAAATTAATTATGAATTAGTCTCTGTATATCTGAGCTAAACAATCTAAGTTGAATAATTTTCTTCAGATCAAAAATGCAAAAGCAAAGAATTTTAAAGGCTACATATTTTTTTTTAGAAATAACAGATAAAAGGCTTAAACATAAGTCTCTATCAACCTGCTCTCCCCAAATCGGCAATTTTTCAGTTTATGGGTATGTCTATTGTCTGTACATATTAGAATAGATACTCAAGAACATAGCAAATTTCAAAGCTAATTATCAAGCTCTATATTTTTTTAAAAGATTCAAGACACAGTCATTAAGAATAGAGATTTGGTTCCTTTGGATGAAAACTCTCTTAACGTTCTAGCTTTGTATTAAATAAGCACTTGTGTGGCTGGTGATTTGCGGGGCTCTTCCTGAATTTAGGAAAATTATTCAAAATATATAATTATATTATTTAATTATATAATTAAATATATTTAATTCTACAGGACTTTAGCACTCCTTCTTAGACCGTTTGGGGGCACCGACAGCAACAATAAAATAATAGCTGTTTAGAAATCTGGGAAAGAGTCAGCATTTTTATGACACTTGTAACTCTTTGGGTATCCTGTGCATGGCTATCATAATCAAACTTTGAGGCACTTGGAATCTTACAAAGTAACACCTCCTTGCCACCACTGGCCTTTCCATTTAATGAATAGTCAATACTTGAAGTAAAATATGCCTATTGGATAGCTGCAACTGTTTAGTCCAGCCTAAGCTAATTTACTGTGTAAGAATTATGCACCGTGTAGCGAAGCCATTATTGATAAATTACACACAGGTTTATTTGCTCAAGGGTACACAGTTTACAAATGAGTTGCTCTTCTAGGGCAAGTTTGAACAGATGAGTAGGGCATTTACAATGTCCTTTTAAATTACCTTAAATGGAATGCATTCACTTTTGTATTCCTTTTTAAAAATGTGGTTTATATCCTCAAAGGTTAAAGAAAAAAAAAGGTAATCTACTTTCTACCATTAGGGTATTCACCTCTTTTAGCCTCCTCTTTTCACACCATCATTACTATGCATACATATTTTCCACTGTAGGAAACAAATGTTATACTTTCAAGTAAATGAATATTTACACAGAATTACTGCTATCAAATTATATATGAATTTATCATAAGGAAAGTTCATAGTTGACCTTTCCTCTTTTGTCTTAGCTTCTATACTTAAATTGGGCTCAAACATTCACAGAATTAGATTCAAAGAACATTATTGAGGTTATCCTTTATGGTAGAAATTGTGCAGATAAATTATCGCATTTAATCTCCAAATATTTCATGAGATATTAGTATTCCTGTTTCAAAAATATGATATTTCAGAAAAAGTAGAGTACAAATTAGGTAATATAGTCACATAGATGAAAATTGGAGCAATTACTAGCTAGGAACACAAGTCTTGATTCTTTTCAAGTATCTCAGTTGCTTTTGCACTAAAAATGACTTGATTTTAGCAGTGGCAGTTCCTGCAGAGGCTGGCACATGGGTTTTTGATTTTTCACTTCAAACTCACTAAGGAATTGTGAACATTGAAATCCAGGTCTACTATTAACCTGTGTACTATTGGTCCACACAGAAAGCCATACAGACCAACAAGACCATTTGGCTGATACCTTGAGGTGAGGGACCCAAAAATGGGATTTTGGAAATCCTTCACTGACAGAAGGATTTGTGTTACAAACAAAAATATCCAGAAGATTGAGACCAAACTTGAAAAACAATAACCTAGAAATCAAAATGAGTTTTGAGTGAAATAAAGTGAGAATTCAGTTTTTTCAAAACTAAAGAAATATGAGACATATAAACTTTAAGTCTGTGGTCATAAGTTACTTTATAGGTCACCTAGCCCAGAGGCTTCCATATATTTTTTTAAATAGTTGAGTAACTTTTATTCCAAGTAAAATCTTACCCTGTATCTTCATATTTAACAAATAGAAGTGATATTTATTTTATGGGAAAAATTTAAAACATTTAATCATGACAAATGTCATCAACAGAAATAATGAGGCGCATTGGATAGACACAAACATTTGAATTACTGATTTCTAAGTGACATTTGCCATTTATATCCAATCAATTTTGTTTTGGATACTCAATGAGTAAATGTGTATGGCATAGAACAGATTTGATTGTGTGCATTCTTCTTGTTATATCTGAATTTTTCTTGGAAATTCAAACCAGACTTTTGCACAACCTTGGATTTAGTTCAGAAATACAAGTGGGAAAACTGGGAATCATGGAGGTCAATTTACTTGCCAATAACACAAAGAAGCGCGAGTTGTTCTCAATCTTAGCATAGTGACTTATTCCCCTGATATTTTCCCAAAAGGTAACCCTGACTCTGCAGAATGAAAGCATTCATTCATTCTCATAATCCTCCTTCTCTTTCTTCTTTAGCCATCAAAAAGTAACCTCATGTACGTTCACATCACCATTGATTTTTCCATTACAGGAGCAGCAGAAAAGAGTTCTAAACATGGTGCTGAAGACAAGACTCAGACCATTATTACAGCCATGAAAGAAAGAATGAAGATCAGGGAGAAAAATAGGCCAGAGGTATTTGAAGTAATTCAGGAAATGTTTCAGATTTCTAAAGAAGATTTTGTGCAATACACAAAAGCAGCCAAACAGAGTGTACTGGATGGAACATCTAAGTGGTCAGCAAAAATAACCATTACAGGTAAAAATAAGTCATCTTTAAAAGTTTTATTCCAAGTGGAGATTTTGATGTATCTTAGAAATCACTGCTAATAATAATTATAGGTAAAATTAATAGAATTTTTTTCTCTTTTGTTAATATTGATAGGTCTAGGTGGTATTAGATGGTACAAATATCCAAAATATATGCTGGATAAGTGAAGTAATTTCAGTCTGTGTCTTGTTTTAATCAAAAGCTCTTCACAGGAAAAATATTTCTGATTTTTAATATATTCACCAATACCCTGCAGTTTCCCAGAGATTAGTTTTGTTGCTGCCTGTCACTGCTAAATCATAAGAGTAGCTATTAATCTCTTCAGTCAGTTTTATAAAATGAGAAAGATATTTTATTTACTCCTCATTCAATACCCCTTATCCCTTTGATCCTTGAGCCAAGGAAATTTGAGTCTAGTGTTATGTAGTAATTTGAACTTCTGAAGTTGCTTGTGATGTTAGCAGCAAGTAACTATGTATCATGTTAACATTTACCAAGCCTTTTACCTTGCTCATTTTGTATTTACAAGGTAAATAAAGATGCTTTTTCTAAATGAGTAGAGTTGATCAATATTGACAGCAAACTTATAAATAAATAAATCAGTTTGGATCTCAGACCTTTGAATTATGTTGGTTAACTTTTTGTATATTGTATGCATTCCTCCTCTTTTCTTTCTCCATGTGTACAGTAATGTGTATATGACTGTATAGCTACTAATATATGTGTGTGTGTATATAAATATACTTGTATATATATATATATATATATATATATATATATAGCTACGGTTCATTAGAAGCAAAAGCAAATATCGGTTAAAGGAAGATTTTAATTCTCAGTGTATTTATGTTTTAAAGTCCTGCTGGCCATGAGAATGAAAGCAGTAGGGATGTATCTGCAAATCCAGGGAACCAAATGATAGAAAGTATTTCCTTCATTATCATTGTATTAAAATGTTTATTTTGGTTTATTTCAGTGGTTTCTGCACAAGGCTTACAGGCAAAAGACAAAACAGGGTCTAGTGACCCATATGTTACAGTTCAAGTTGGAAAGAACAAAAGAAGGACTAAAACCATTTTTGGAAACTTGAATCCAGTATGGGATGAGAAGTTTTATTTGTGAGTATATAATGTGAAAGTATTACAAATATTAAAATATTTAAGAATAAATAAAATATTTAAGAATAAATTTAAGAATAAAAAATATTTAAGAATATACTTGCAAAAATTAACTGAGCAATAATTATCTCATATTTTAATAATTTCTTATGCAGAAATTACAGAAAGAGTGAAACTAATGTTATAAATTCAATAATCCCATACTGTTTATTATTTTTTCTTTATCTTTGTAAGCAAATGAATAAGAAGAATATTTCAAACCAAATAAGGTAGCACAATCGGGGGACTTTGTAGGATGTATAAAAATGTCTCACAACATTATCTATAACTTGGGATAACCCAAGATAGCTAGAAATTTATAGGCTTGATTCACTAATATCATGACATCTAAATATTTATAACTAATGACAACAGAAAGACTTTGAGTATCACCTGGCCCATCACCTGGGGATAGAGCCACACGTGCACTAGCCTATACTGATGAACTGGTTGATGATAACTTTTAAAAAGTCTCATTTTCCATGAAAGTATTTATTTTTAAACCTCTTATATCTTGCAAAAAACAGCAACAAATCATGTTTTCTCAAGTTTTTTTTAATTTCTACCTCTCATTCTTAGAAAGACAAAATAAAATGGCTTTCAACTACCATTTGGTGGAAATGAAAAACCCTAAGTGAATTTATTTATTTATTTTCATTTTTTTTAATTTCAGAATATTATGGGGGTACAAATATTTAGGTTACCTATATTGCCTTTGCCCCGCCCAAGCCAGAGCTACAAGCATGTCCAACCCCAGACAGTGCACATCGCTCCCATTAGGTGTGAATATACTGATCCCCTCCAACCCCCCCACCTGCCCGACACCTGATCAATGTTACTACTGTATGTGCGCATAAGTATTGATCAATTAGTACCAATTGGATGGTGAGTACATGTGGTGCTTGTTTTTTCATTCTTGTGATATCACTTAGTAGAAGGGGCTCCAGCTCCATCCAGGATAATATAAGAGGTACTAGTTCAACATTGTTTTTTGTAGCTGAGTAGAACTCCATGGTGTATATATATATCACATTTTATTAATCTACTCATGTATTGATGGGCACCCTGAGTGAATTTAAAGGTAGTCCTTTTTCTTTAGTCCTCTCTTTGCAAATGGTTTTAACATCAATCTCTTAATGTGTTAAGTAAGCAAACCTAGAACATCCAGATTATTTGGGCATGGGAGCAAAAGTGTGTAAATAGAGTTTCTTGCATGTATGGGCTGATATAAGAAGTATTAAAAAATAGGTTTGGAAAATCAGTTGGGACCAAACAACAGGGTACTATAGAATGAGTTAAGGAATTTGGGTGATGTCTCCCTTTCAACTAATGGGAAAGACTAATACTCCTTCATTTGTTAACAGAAGACAAGAAGTCAAGTGGCACAAATATAAATTTCTACTAGGGTCAAATAAATATTCATTTAAGGGCAACCAAGGGAAAGGATGGAGACCATGACAAACTGGAGAACAAATGGGTTTCAGAAAAGAAATGGTTTCCCTTGCCATGTAATTAAGAAGATACAATGCACCTAGAGCTTCCAGTTGATCAGGAGAAGCTAGAAATTAGAAAGTTTAAAAATAGTTTGTAAACTTTACAAACTTAAAGTTTATAGTTTGTTAAATTTTGACCTCTATGAAATCATCACCACAGACAAGGAACGTATCCATCAATTCCCAAACAGGTTCTTTACGTCCCCATTGAGTCATTCCTACTGACTTTCTTCGTGCCAAGGCAATCACTGGTGTGCTTTCCCATGTTATAGAATACTTTCCAAATTTTGCATTTTCTAGAATTTTATATAAATAGAATCACGTGGTTGGTACTCTTCTTTATTTGGTTTCATTCACTGAGCATAATTATTCTAAGCTCCATCCAAGTCGTAGGGGGTATCAGTAGTTTATTTCATTTTATTGCTGGGTAGCATTCCATTATATTAATATATCACAGTTTTTTTGTGTGTTCATCTCTTGATGGATATTTTGGTTTGTTTCAAGTTTGGGGCTATTAAAAACAAAGGGACCTATATGTTAAATGAGTGATTCGTATTAAAACTAACATTTGTGCATAGGTATTTGTATGGATGCGTATTTTTATTTGTTTTGAATAAATAGCTAGAAGTGGAAATAACCAAATCATATATTAGGAACATGTTTAAGATATGTTTCCCAAGTGGTTATACCACTTTATATATCTACCATAAATCTATGGGTGTTTCAGGTCAAGCACATCTTTCCAATATAGGTGATCATCAACTTAATGATGGTTTGATTTAATGGTTTTTTTGACATCAACGTGGGTTTATAGGGCTATAATCCCATTGTAAACTGAGAATCTCCTTATAAATTATAATGGGGTTAGGGTTTCTATTGCATGCCTGTGACTTTTGTACCCTCATAAATTTGAAAAATTGTTAAGTCAAACCATCATATGTTGGACCATCGGCTGTGTTGCCAGTGTTAAGTGTATTTTTGACTTATATATTATCACTTTATAGTGTGTTTATCAGGATGTAACCTCATTGTAAGTTGAGGAGCATCAGTACTTGGTAAGGCCAGCCTTTTAAATTTTAGCCATTCTAATCAGTGTGTAGGGGTATGTTATAAAGGTTGTATTTTATATTTCCCTAAAGACCATAATTTTGAGTATCTTATCATGTGCTTGCGTGCTATACATGTATCTACTTTGGTTAAGTCTTCAACTGTTTTACCCATTTGTATTATTTTTGTATTTTGTATTCATATAAGTTTTATGGTTAGGGGTTTTACATTTAGGTTTATGATACATTTTGAGGTAACTTTTTAGTGTGGTGTAAGTTATAGACCCACGTTCATTTTTTGCATATGAATATGCAATGGTTTCTGTGACAATTTTTTAAAGAACTATTTTTTTTCTACTAAATTGCTTTAGTACCATTGATAAAATTTAGTTTTACATATACATGTGACTGTATTTCTGGACTGTTCATTCTGTTCTATTGATCTATTTTTCTGTTTTCTAATACCACACTGTCTTAATTACTGAAGCTTAATGATAAGTCTTAAAATAAGGTCAAATTTGTCTTTCTCCCTTTCTCAGAGTTATTTTGGCTCTTTTAGGATCTATCAACTATTTTGATATTAACTTTAGAATCAGTTCATTATTTTTCACAAAACAATACCTGCTAGAATTTTGATTGCCTTATAGCACTGGCTAAGATTTCCAGTATGATGTCAAATGGGAGTGATAAGAACACACATCTTTGCCTCGTTCCCAATTTTAAGTGGGAAACATTCCTTTCTTTATTTACTGTGATATTTGCTGTAGCTTTATTGTAGATGCCATTTATTCAGTTAAGAGAGATATCATCTATGCCCTGCATGCTGAGAGTTTTAATCAGAAATGGATGTTGGATTTCGTTATATTACTTTTCTACATCTATTGAGATGATAACATGATTCTGATTATCCTTTCAAATTAAATTGACATTAAAGATACTGCTTCATTGTCTTTGTGTTTACATTACATTATTTCCTATGATAAATTTGTTGTCCTCATTTTTGTTCTCCTGTACAAAACATGTCTCCTTCCTCCCCCAACTGCTTTTAAGATTTTTTTTCCTACTTATTTCTACAGTTTGATTATGATTTGACATGGTGTGATTTTCTTCCTGTTTCTGTTGTTTAGGGTTTGTTGAGCTACTTGGGACTATGGGCATGCAGTTTTCTTTCAAATTTGGAAAAATGTGGCCATTATTCCTTTAAATATCCTTTCTGCCCCCCTCCCACCCCACATTTGGAGATTCCACTTGTACATATATTAGGCCTCTTGAAGTTGTCCGACAGCTCACTGATGATCTGTCTTATTTTTTTATTTCTTTTTAATTCTCTTTTTTCTCTGTTTTACTTTGGATATTTTTCTATTGCTGTGTGTTTAAATTCACTAATCTTTTTTTCTGTAAGTTCTAATTTGCTGTAAATCCCAGCCACTGTATTTTTCACATTAAATGTCTTATTTTCCATCTTAAGAAATTTAAATTGGGTCTTTGCATTTTCCCTTTCTCTACTTAACTTTTTGAACCATCATCCAAAAGGCCATCAGGATGGCTAAAGAGTAGAAAGGAGAGCTTTATTGGCTATATCAGTTTGGAAACTGGGAAGAAACAGTCTCCAGCATGCACCAAAGGTGCTCTGTCTTTGAAAAGGTCGAGAAAAGATTGGTTATTATGTCTGACAAGGTCTGTATCACACAAGGGAGTCATACATATTCAGCAGGTTTGGGGGGAAAGCTACACAAATTTATGAAGGGGGGGTCAAATGCATGTGTAATGTGTAAACATATATGTAACATACACTCCATGTTCACCTTGAGGCAGGATTTTAGCATTCAAGTGAGGTGGAATTTAGCCCTTTATGTCAAAAGGTGAACTGTAAGACACAAACACAATTTGTGCACAGTCTATATAGCCAGGTGTCCATTTGCTTATCTGGAAGGAATGTTTGTAAGGCCAGTCTTCTGTCCAGTAAGAGTTGTAATGGCCTGGGTTGTAAATTTAGGGTTAGGAAGAGTCTGACAATATGCCTGATAGCTTCTATTGTTAGGTAGGTTAGCAAGAGTGTGTTTTGTCTTGTGGCTTTCAGAATTTAAGAAGTTTCCATGCTAGCTAAGCTCCAAACCCTTGACCTATAGGTAACTTTTGTTTTTTTAACCTTAGGGCTCGTCTTACTTGATTAAAGGGGCATCTAATTTGGTCTCTCAGATCACAAAACACATGCAAGACTGCACTACTTATGGTAACTGTTTTGATGTTCTTGCCTCTGAATTCTAACATCTGTGTCCATTCGTGGTCAGTTTTGATTGATTTGATAGATTTTCTCTTCGTTACACATCATATTTCTCTGCTGTTTTGCATGCCTGGTAATTTCAGATTGAATTCAAGACATTACAAATATTACTTTGTTGGTTGATGGATATTTTCATAT